ACCTGTTTGTTTCCTCTCCACCTATCCTCTCCTCTATCCCTCTTCTATCCGCCTCCCACTCTCTCCCTATTTATTTCAGAACCCCCTTCCCCTCCCCCATTTCCGAAGAAGGGTCTAGGCCCGAAACGTCAGCCTTTCTACTCCTATGATGCTGCTTGGCCTGCTGTGTTTAATCAGCCCTGCACCTTGTCTCGGATTCTCCAGCATCTGCAGTTCCTCCTATCTCTGATTCAATTTCTCTTGTTGCCCATCAGGTCTCTGTCTGGTGCTAAGTCATTCACCTGCAAATTACTGAATTCAACAGGAGCATATGTTCTTGTCTGACTTCGTGGAGAACCCTTTCTCCGTACAGTTTCAGATAGCTGAAACCTTTTTCCTTTTTAGACAGCAGGAATTGTGATTTTAGTTTTAAAAAACTAGAATCAACAAACAAATCTCACCACATCATATGTCAGAACATTGTCTAAAATCTGCACCTGCATCACACTATCTTGGCTGCAGTGAGGCAGTGGGAGTAAGAATTGGTAATGGTGGTCCAGCAAAAGGAGACCCCCACTCACCTGATGGGCCAAAAGTCCTCCTGCTCTGCTGTGAATTGATTTTAACGACATTGATTTAAGAGGTTATTTTTGTTTAAATCAGGTGCAGCTTGATCGTGCTGAGTGGGGCTCTGACTTGCCAAGCATCGAGAGTCACTTGGAAAATCACAAAAATGTCCACAGAGCAATTGAAGACTTTGAATCAAGCATCAAAGAAGCCAAAGCTGCTGAGGTAACTAACCTGGGAATCAGCAGACATTTTTGAATCACTTGCAGTGAACTGGACTTTGTCGTGTCTAATGTTGGTCCATTTCCTACAGGTGTTTTCATAGCTGTGTGGATTTTATCTGAATGAAGGATTATGGGACATAAAGTTGGGGAAAGAAGGCAGATCGGTGAAATTGGTTTAATTGGATAGCATGTTCAGAGGAGCATGGTGGCTGAATGGCATGCTTATGTGCAGCAACATTTTATGATGTGATTCTGTGGAATATGAGACTCTTCAGGTGGTTAAGAAATGTTATTGTTGCACCTTACTGTGCTCATCATTAAGTATTGTGCCACCTTAATGAAGCAAGAAGATCATTCCAAAATCTAGCTATTTATACAGCGCCTGGCCCCCATTTGGAAGCATAGTTTAATATTTTCATTTTGTTTTCTGGGTGGGAGCTTTTTGTCATTTTATTCACAGTTTGATTGATAATTATAATTTGACTTTGAGTTTGATTTATCATTGTCAAATGTGCCAAGATAAAGTGAAAAGTGTTGTTTTTGCATGCTATACAGGCAGATCGTACCATATAAAATGCATCAAGGTAGCAGAAAAAATACAATGTAACAAATGCAGAGAAGGTGCATCTCTCAGGAAGAATGTCAGGAAGTCTTTAACAGGTTGGGCCCTTTTTCTGTAGAAAAGAGGAAACTGATTGATGATCCAGTAGCAGTTATGTAAGGGTTTGACAGGGTGGAGGGACATAAAATGTTTCTGGTTGTGGTGGATTTAAACTGGGACAGTGATCAATATAACATCCTAACTAGTAAATCCAAGAAGGAAGTCAGCAGAAATTTGTGTCCAAACAATTCTGGTAAATTCCAAGTGGAATCTCCCTGTCACTTTACAGTTGAGGAGAATGGTGCAGATGCATTTGAAGGAAGCTGGATAAATATGTGAGGGATCAAGGAATGAGGGTGGGTTTGATTGATTAGGATGGGAGATATTTGTTGTGGGTAATAAACAACGGCATGGAGCAGTTGAGCCTGTCCCACACATTCTAGGTAATTCTGTTTTGCTTTCCACCTTTACCTCAGCTTGATGACTAACTCTTGTTTCTGAGCTCATGCACCTGCAGCCAAACAGAAGGTAGGGTCTGCAGATTGGTCTCCAGAGTCTGCTCTTCTGCTCGCTTTGGTGGAGGTGTGATTCTTCTAGGATTAGAGGGAGACCTCTAGAGGGTAAACCATTCAGCCTGTTATTTAAATAGGTCATGGCTGATCTGTGTCTTAACTCCATCCTCCTGTCTTGGGCCCATAACTTTTTAATGTCTAATGCCTTACAAAAACTGATCAAAAGGAGAAATTACTGAAGAAACTCAGCATGTTTGACAGCATTTGTAGAGAGAAAATAAAGTTAACGTTTCAAGTCCAGTGACCACTTCGAATTCTGAAGAACTTGGTTTTCTCTCTCCAGACCCTTAGTTTCTCCAGAAATCTCTATTTCTTTGCGTTTCAGATCTCCAGTATCTACAGTTTTTTGTTTTATTATTCATTATGAAACCTGATCAATTTCTGTTTTGTTATTTGACACCACCCTCTATGTGAAGAACTGCACCCTGTCATCCCTGAATGACAAGCTCTAATTCAAGATAATGTGCTCTTGTTCTGGACTCTCCAAACAGGAAGTAGTTTCTTTCTATCTAACTTATCAGTTCCTTTAATCACCCTAAACACCTCAATTAGATCATCTGTTCACATTCTGTATGCAGGAGAATACAAGCCCGGTCTTTATAATATTTTCTCATAATGTAAACATTTAGACCTGACATTATTCTGGGAGTAAATCTGCTTTCCCACTATACAGCACCAGTGTGAGTCGCAATGTCTGTAGGTGAGAGCAATTGCTTCAGATGCAGCTATACCTGTGATATAACAGTACCATTTCTATTCCACACCTCTTAAAATATAGACCAGCATTCTATTAGCCATTTCAGTTATATGTTCTACCTGTCCATCTAGTGACTGTGAGGATTTGGTCAGGGAATGATTTTGATTTGATTAGATTTGATTTTTTATTGTCACGTGTACTGAGACGCAGTGAAAAGTGTTGTTTTGCATGCTAACCAGACAAATTATACCTTACATAAGTACTTCAGGGTCATAGAACAGAATGCAGAATATGGTGTTACAGCTACAGAGAAACATCAACTCTAATTTACGAGAGGTCCATTCAAAAGTCTGATAACAGTAGGGCAGAAGCGGTTCTTGAATCTGTTGGTACATGTTTTCAAACTTTTGTATATTCTGCCCAAGGAAAAGAGATGGAAGAGAGTATAACCAGCGTGGGAGGGTCTTTGATTATGTTAGCTGCTTTCCTGAGGCAGTGCAAAGTGTAGACTGAACCAATGGAAGGAAGGCTAGTTTTTGTGATGCACTGGGCTGTGTTCACAACTCTGTAATTTCTTGCGGTCTTGGGCAGAGTAGTTACAATACCAAGCTGTGATACATCCAGATAGGATGCTTTCTATGGTGCATCTGTAAAAATTGTTAAGAGTCATTGTGAATGTACTGAGTTTTCTTAGCCTTCTGAGGAAGTCGAGGTGTTGGTGTGCTTTCTTGACTGAGTGAAATATAGTTTTCATTTGCTGAATTAAATCTCATTTGTTTTTCAGTTATAACATGAAGATGTTTTTGTTTAAATAGGGACAAATGAGCCCACCTCTATGTGAAAGCTATTCAGAGAAGTTGAGCACCCTAGAGAGTCAGTACATCAAGCTTTTGGTGAGATTTTGTGGTTACTTCCTTCTCCAAGCCTGTTGAGCTGTTATACTTGTATTCAGAATAACTCATTTTAATTGCACATTTAATTTTTCATTTTCTACTTTAAAAATCTGAAGGCTGCTTCCCAGGATCGAGCCTCTCACCTTGACGACCTGCAAACTTTTGTGACCAGAGCCACTAACGAGCTCATCTGGCTGAACGAGAAGGAGGAGGAGGAAGTTGCTTATGACTGGAGCGACAGGAACTCCAGCATGTTGAGAAAGAAAGAATATCATGCTGTATGTAACAGTTGTGGATTATGAGCTTGCAGTCATATTTGTGGCACATGCTACAAAAAAAGGTGGTAAAAATCCCTAATCAGTCTCATGTAAAAGTAATAGAAGATACTTGTCTTTTGTAATCTCAGGAGGTCACAACATACTTCATCACACATGTCCTAATATAGGAGATACAGCTGCCAGTTAACACAGAACAAAATCCCAAATACTGCAATTTGTTATTAATAGTGGGATAAACATTAGCCAGGACACTGGAAAGACCTCCTGTCAACATAATGTATGGACTTATTTTATGTTCACTTGCGAAGGCAGGTAGTACTTCAGTTTGATGTTCCTTTTGAAAGGTGACAGCCCTGACGTTCCAGTACTCCCTCTGGAGTCAAGACTTCACTCCACAATTTTGCTGTAAGAGTACTGCCTTCTGAATTGATAACTTCCAACACGTGAAAATAGAATTAGATAATTGGTTTACAATATCCGCTGTCATTCAGATGCTTAAGGGGAAGGGTTTTCCCTTCTGGCTTCAGTTTCTGGATACTTATTTTTTGTTTTCTTGCTGTTCCTGTTTGTGACAGGAATTGATGCGACAGCTCGAGGATAAGGACGTCCTCATGAGATCAGTGCAGGAGATGGCAGATCAGCTCCTCCTAAGTCGTCATCCTGCTCGATCCACCATCGAGGTAATCGTAACAACTTACTCCAGTGTGATCCGCTTGCAAGGTTCTAACTAGCCTGTTTGTTTTGCTGCTGTGCTGCATTATGGGTGAAACTTGGTAATGGTGCCTGTTTTAATCCCTTTCAGAGGTGAGACTGGAGTTCTCATGTTTTCTTTCCTCAGGCTTTTAAAGCAGCCATGCAAACACAGTGGAGTTGGATCCTACAGCTCTGCTACTGCGTTGAAAGACACCTGAAAGAAAACACAGCCTATTTTGAGGTATGTGTTCTATTCACATTGGTAGAAAACTCTTTGTAGAATGTTGTGTGTGGCCTCTCTTAATGACCTCATGCCTTTTCATTTCTTTTGCCACGTCTAGTTTTACAATGACGCCAAAGAATCCATGGATTACTTGAGGAACCTGCAGGAAACAATAAAGAGGAAGTACAGTTGTGACAAATCCAGCAGCCTAGTGAGACTGGAGGACCTGGTTCAGGATTCCATGGTAAAATTCAGACTGACGCAGGACAGCAGGTTTTAAAATATAGAAATGGGAATTAATGGCAGCAAAAGATTATCCCCAGCAGGTTTTTAAGTAGAATTTATGTGTAATGAAGGGTGCTTCAGAGTGAATGCATTAACAGCATAAACAACAAATATACCAATACGAGGTGGTCGCAGATGTTATTACAATTCTAAAAGGACTAGGTAAATACCGTCCATGACCAGTAGTTTCACCACCTTCAGAATGGAGGATCCAGAGGGCACAACCTGCATTCAGTCAGGATTAATTCAAAACTAATCTGCAGGTGAGTGTTTCATTGAGCAATTGGCTAATCTGTGGAACATGCTGCCAAGGGGAACAGGGTGAACCCATTAATGTGAATTAATTCAAGTGCAAACTAGATAGATTTCTTTCAGTAATTTAGTTGCAGAGTGTGAGTAATTTGAGATATGGCTGTGAGATCCAGGCTTGGGAGAATCAGGTCAGTTTGGACCAGTGGTTTGCAAATCTCTCTATCTCTGGATCCAGAGGTCTCTGCTCATATCTGGGTCTGTTGTAGACTCAGTGACGAAGATTGGTCACTGTGACTACAATAACTATATTATCACAGTATCAAGTGACTATTAGAATAGCAGAAAGTGAACCAGATGAAGAGCAGATTTCTTTGCCTAGCAATTCCTATGTTTCTGAAATAGTTCCTTGCTGATTTCAAGTGAGGGACAGGGCAACAGCAAATAATTGTAGACTTTTGCAGTGAAGTGAGAGCTTGTGTTTTAAATTGGCAAATAAGAGTTGGATCATTCTCTCGATTTGTCTGAGCCATTTTAAAATAATGGTTTATGAGCTTTATATATAGAATGCTGGTTAAACTGTAGGATCCTTTGGAGTACCTTGATTTCCCTGTTTAATGTGCTTCATAAATCTAATAAACAAGCTGCTCCAAAGTTCTTACATTAACTTTAAACCCTATTTCTTAAGTTTTGGTTGAGAGTGGTGAAGAAAGACACTAGTGCAACCCTGCAACTCCCTCTGCTTTTTGTGAAACACCCTTGCATGATAAACCATTTTGCTTCGGGGTTTCCCACATCTGCTTTCTATAACTGGACAATAAGGACTTCCTTTATGCTTGAAGTTTTGCTGTTCCCACTGCATGTAGAATTCATATTACAGCTACAGCTCGTGCAGCCTTGCCTCTCTGGTGCCTTTCTCTCACCTGATCTCTCATTAGAGAAAGCAAATAATTCCAATAGATGAGGAGACTGAAGACGAAATGTGTGAAGGAAACTGCATTCATGTCATGTAGTTGCATGTATTCCCATGCACTGAGCTTGTTACTAGTCTAGTTTTTGTCACAAGGCATGATGGACAGTCTATCTGTTCAATCGTGCAGTGCTGGTGACCCTCTTTTTTTGTACAAAGCCTAGAAAAAGCACTTAACCAATGTTTGCACTGTAAAGTATATGCTGTAAGAACTGGCACAGGCAATTGTGTAAGGTGTTCATTGGAGTTGAATTGGGTTATTTTTGTGAAAGGTCCAACTTGTTTGAAGAACATTCTACTCTTTTTAATGTATTTTAGGATGAGAAGGAACAACTCCTCCAGTACAGGAGTAACGTAGCAGGCCTCATGAGTCGGGCAAAGAGCATCGTGCAACTCAAACCCAGGAATCCCGAAAATCCCATAAGGATCTCCATCCCCATCAAAGCCATCTGTGACTACAAACAAATTGAGGTTTGAAATCAAGTACCCAGTGAGCTGTTCATTTTTAAATTTAGAAGCCATAAGTATAAGAAAGCCACCAATAAAGTCAATGGGATTTTCAGGAGAAACCTCTTTCTCCATAAAATGGTGAACTAGATAAACACGAGAAATAAAGGAATCAGAGGTTATAGTGATGAGGCTAGGTGAAGCGGGATGGGAGGAGCTCATGAAGAAAAAGCAGCAGCATGGGCCAGCTGGACTGAATGGCTCATTTCTGTTACAGCACAGAAATATCATTATTAAAATGGCTATTAGGAATAGATAGCATAGTGCAGGGGCCATGGTGTTAAATTGGTAATCTCACTAATTCCAGACATGAAGCTGAGTTCCGTAAATCTGCTAACTAAAATGGCTTGACTGCTGGAAGAACCCCTTATCTGTTTCTGACCTTTTATTTTCTTTTTTTTAAACCATATGCCTTTAATCTCTAACCAGTGTCCTGAAACATCTTTGGGGATTTATTCTTTGTTTGCGATGAACAGTCAGGAAATATCTATCGCTGTTCATGAACTTCTAATAAATTGAGAATAATTTAAAATCTTTCCCCAAGGTTTTTGAGAGTTATTGATTGAATGACATTATGATTTTAAAAATACAATAGTTACATTGAATTTATAGATAATGTTACCCATCTTTTCATGTACAGAGCAAAACCAGACAGGAGTTCTCAGTTTCTGGGAAGGAATTTCAAGATTAAAAACCTGTTTAGTCTTGTACTGAGTAAAACAAAACATCCTTTTGGAAATCTCAAACCTGTAATTTGGTTTGTAAGCTTTCATTGGGTTGTGATTAAAATACAATAGATACACTTGTGAATTGACTTAGACAAACAAAAACTAATTGAATATGCTGTCAAGTCTAGGCTTTCATGATCTACCTTAAATACTGAGAGTTGCTGGGATCAAATGACCTACAACAATCTCGCCTCTTTTTGTTTGCCGTAAATTACAGCAATTATTACACAGCAGTACAGTTTATTTTTGCACTGACAGAATACAACACCAAGTTGCAATGTGTTACAAGAGGGTATAACTATCAGGGATAAATGAACAGGTTGGGGCACTTTGCAGAAGAGAAGGCTTGGGGTGATATGATCGAGGTCTTCAAAGTTATAGGGGATTCGATTTGCTCGATGTGAAGGTGTTTCGACTGTAGGGGTGGCCAAACCACTGTAAACCTAAAACAGCCACTAGTAAATCCAAGGAAGTAATTCAGGAGAAACCCTTTTATCAAGAGAGTGTTGAGAATGTGTAAACTCTCAACCGCATCTCATAAAGATACATTTAAGATTAAGTCCATGAAATAGAAAGGAATAAAAGATTACATTGAAGGTGTAAGATTAGATTGTGTGGAAGGAAGCATCATCAATGTGATTCAATTGAGTTGAATTGCCTGTTTCTGTGCTGTTCTTTAGTGAATCGTACAGCACAGGAGGAGGCCATTTAGCCCATTCCACTTATGCTGGCTCTTTGAAAGAGCTTGGTTCTACTCCACTGCCCTCTTCTCATAGCCTTGTATGTTTTACCTTACAATTATTTATTTAATACATTTTGAAAGTTACTATTGAATTTGCTTTGTTACTCTCTGATATCCTTTGAAAGGATGTTTTTTATTTATTTTGATTTCTACGCCAGGAGCATTTTTTTATGCAGGGTTCCCACCTCTGCAGGGGCCTGATAGACAATTCAGCACAAAAATCATAGTCACTTTAAAAGGATACTTTTTCTTTCCCCCATTTACTTTTGTACAGTTTTGCTTATTAATTATCAAAACATTGGACATGGGGCAATAGGCTATTTTATCAACAGTCCAGAATTGTCCAATCATGTAATGAAAACTGCTTTCTGATTGGCTGGAAAGGATCTGGGAGAGGGGCAATTGTGATGAAACCACAAGATGTTGGCACGATCTGATGCTGCCAAACGCTCTCAACACACCGTGACCCATTTACCACTTCTGCGCTTGCTGATTTACATTAGCTCAGTTTCAAAACTACCAACTTTTTTTTTGCAAAATCCATTATGGCATCACTTTCTCTGATGTCCTTCAGCACCACAACTCACTGAGATCCCTGCAACCTCAAATTCTACACTCCTGAACTTTCTCAAATTTTTTACATGTTCCACAATTGGTGGCCATGCCATTACTACCCAGAGCCAAGCTCTGAAATTCGTTGCCTATACCACTCAGCTCTGCTACACCTCTTCAAGACATGTCTTAAAGCCTTACGTCCACGACTAAGTTTTAGATCACTTGTCCAAATATCCCCCGATGTTGCTCAGAATCAAATTTTGTTTGATAATGCTTTTGTGCAGCATCTTGGGACATGTTTATTACGAGTTGTAAGTTGCAATGTAGATACCAGTTGTTGATTTTAGCAACATGGATTTGTGAGAGGAGATGGTGTTAAAATCTCTGCACCAATTTCTTTCTTTTAACAGATAACGATCTACAAAGATGATGAATGTGTACTGGAGAACAACTCACACCGAGCCAAGTGGAAGGTTATCAGTCCTACAGGCAATGAGGCCATGGTTCCTTCAGTTTGCTTTTCAGTTCCTCCACCAAACAAAGAAGCCATTGAGATGGCCAGCAGGTAATAAGGAGGCATGTGTCTGCCTCTACTTTTATATGGCTGCATATAATGACTGTTCAATTCACAGCCAGACGGAAGATGATTGGAAAATCAATTACTCCTGGAGCCTGAATTGATGCAAATGACACAAAGTGTAACCATCCTCAACTGAGTCTTTTGTTGTGGAAATAGTCCTCCGTTCAATAAGAGACCTTACTCTGGTCTTGATCAAAAGTTCTGTTTGGGCAGGTTGTAGATATGCTTTTCAAATAGTCTGCTTTAAATAGAATTTGTCTGCTGTAAATCCTCCTGCAAGTGCCACTGTGCCACAAGGGTGATCAATTTTCAGGGCTTAAAAAATAGGGGACAGTTTACATGGAGGGCTGTGCATGGAGATCTGCAGAGTGGGGAATGCTAACTAGACTGCGGGTGTGTACCAGCTGCTGCATTAAGGAGCCACCCTCTGCTGACTCAGGCCTGCTGCTGGCTGGATTTACCCCTACTCCACACCCCAGGGCTCAATCTGAAATCTTGAGCAACCTCAGGGCTGTGCAGTTAGTTTATTACACACTTGCTTGGGACTTCCAGGCTCCTGTCAACAACTTCCCTTAGACCAGAGGCTTTTGCCTTGTCTTCTGCAATTTAAGTGAGAATTCCTTGAGTCCCAGCTGAGCCTATGCTTCAGCGCTTGTCTCCCATGCTTGGCTTCAGTCAAACTCCAGGTAGATGTATGTTGAGGTCGCTGATGCGCCCAGACAATAAATACCAAAGCTTGAAGAGGTATTCGAATATGCTGGGAGGAAATGCTCTAGGACATGGAACAATTAGGTTTTTTTAAAAAACAGCATGGGATGATCCCATCAAATACAGAGCGGTTGATCACCCTGACCACCTCCCACCCATTGGCTGACACACATTTTAGTTCCATGAAGTGAGCAACCTTGATGAAGAACCAAGTCATTTTGCTGGAGGACAGCATCAAAGTGAAGGAATATGATGTAGAATCAGAAGATGATCTGGTGGGGCTGAGTTTGGCTCGCAGGTATATTCAAATCAACCTGTTCAGAGATGTTATGACATACCTCTGGAGGAAGTGGGACTGGAACCTGGACCTCCTGGCTAAGGAATAGGGACAGTGTGCCACAAGAGTCATGTGCATTTGAGCTGTATAAGTATGTAGACCATTAGGGGAGGGGGTGACACATATGGGCATTTTTGACAACTTAAATAAGCATTAGGCAGGCAGAATTTGTTTTCAAAATGAGGTAGTTATTCATATTAAAATGAACCCATATATCTCCTGCTGCCAATATGAAGGGGCCTGTCCGATCAGCATGATTAAAAATATCTCCGTTTAGATGGCTAAGCTGCTGAGTAGTTGCAGGTGTTTTGGTTCTTAAACATAAACTGCAATTGGCATTCGAGTTTAAGGCAGAATTAGAGTTAGAGCTGCAGCCTACACAATATCCACCTGCTTTATTGGGAAAAAATCCTAAAGAGGTGAATAGTAAATTGTCTTTGTGGAGTCTGAAGCAGTAGGAATGAACTCCCATGAGTACCACTGCTCCACCTTATCCCAGCCTCCCCAAAAGTAAACAAAGGCTAACCATCATATCTGTACTTGTTGGTAAAGGCAGCTTGCTACTTTATTTAAACAGCTTCAGTAAAATACTCAAGCCCTCCCCATATTTCTAACTGTAATTGATCTGCCACTGCAACTGATATAGGATTCTGCCTCCAGTAGGGTATTTGTATCTGATGAAGCAATACTTGCATTAGCATCCACATTGTAAGAGCTAGACATGAATACCATAGTACTGAAAGATTCAATAGATGTTTATTGCACCTATTGATGGTATATATAAATACAGGTAATATTGAGCTATTTGGTTACAAACACTAGCTTATTTCATTTAGCATGTCATGCTTCAAGTACCCCGGTTAATTTAGAGTCTGACACCTTAATGCTATCAGATCATACGCTATGATATGATGATGATAAAACCATAAGAAATAGGAACAAGATTAGGCTTTTCAACCCCTCAAGCTTGCTTCTGCCATTCAGTAAGATCATGGCTGATCTGATACTCCTCACATCCACTTTCCTGCCTATTCCCTGATTACAGCTTTGATTCTCCTACTGATCAAGAATCTATCTATCTCAGCCTTAAATATACACAAGGACTCTGCCCCCACAGCTTTCTGTGGCAAGGAGTTCTAAAGACTCAATCTTCTGAAAGAAGAAATTCCTCCTTATCTCAGCCTTTATTCTGAGACTACGCCCTCTGGTCCTAGACTCTCCCATGAGGGGAAACATCCTCTCTGCATTTACCATGTGAAGCCCCTTAAGAATCCTATATGTTTCAATGAGATCATCTTTCATTCTTCCAAATTTCAATGAATGGAGTCCCAAGCATGTTTAATCTTTGTACATTAGACCGTCACTCCATACAAGGCATCATCCTAGTGAACCTTCTGTGAACTGCCTCCAATGAAATGATATGTTTCCTTAAATAAAGAGACCAAAACTGCTTGCAGTACTCCAGATGTGGTCTCATTAGCATTTTGTACATTAAGACTTCCTGATTCTTATACCCAACACTCTTGAAATAAGGGCCAACGTTCCATTAGCCTTCCTGATCATCAGCTGCATCTATGTGCTAGCTTTCTGTGTTTCATGCACAACTACCCCAAGTCCCTCTGTCTTGCAGCTTTCTGCAGTTTTTCTCCATTTAAATAACACCGTTCTTTTGTTCTCCCTTCCAAAATGAACAACTTCACATTTTCCCACATTGTACTTCATTTGCCAAATATCTCTCTGTAAACGATTTGTATCCTTCTCAGAACCCGCCTTTCCCCCTATTTTTGTGTCTTCTGCAAATTTGGCTACAGTATATTTGCTTCTTTCCTCCAACTTGGTAATATATATTACTGCCAGCACTGCAGTCCCAGCACTGATATCTGTGGAACCCCAATGGTTACAGGTTGCCAACCTAAAAAAGAACCCCTTATCCCCACTCGCTATTTCCTACCATTAGGAATTCTCTAACCATGCCAAAATGCTACGTCCAACACCATGGGCCCTTATCTTATAACGTAACCTTTTGTGAGGTACCTTGTCGAATGCCTTCTGGAAATCCAAATACAACACATCTACTGGTTCTCTTCTATCCAATCTGGTTGACATTTCCTCAGAATCTCTAATGAATTAGTCAGACTTGATTTCCCTTTCATGAAGCAATGCTGACTCTGCTTGGTTGGATTATGATTTTTCAAATGTGCTGCTATTACTTCCGAAATAATTAATTCCAATATTTTTCCAACAATGTTAGGCTAATATGCCTATAGTTATCTGCTTTTTGCCTACCGTTCTTTTTGAATAGGGGTGTCACTTTGGTAGTTTTCCAGTCCACTGATACTTTTCCAGAATCCAAGGTCTGTTGGAAAATTTACAACCAATTCATCTGTCTCTATAGCTACCACTTTTAGGATTCCAGGATACAAGCTGCCAGGAAACTTATCTGCCTTTAGCCCCATTAATTTATGTAATATTATTTCTCTAGTGATGGTGATGGTACTTAATTCCTCTCCATATTCTTTAATATTAATGGGATTTTGAAGTATCTTTCACCATAAAGACTGATGCAAAATATCTGTTTAATTCCTTTGCCATTTCATTGTTTCCCAAAACTATCTCACCAGATTCATTATCTACGGGGCGTACGTCCACTTTGACACTTGTCTTCCTTTTTATATATTTAAAGACGCTCTTATTGTCAGTTTTTATATTCCTTGCTAGTTTGCCCTCATAGTTTGTCTTCTCTCTATTATCTTTCTTGTCCTCCTTTACTGGATTCTGAATTTATTCCATGCCTTGGGGCTATCCTGACTTTCACCTCCTTAATCTGCTTTTTCTTTCAACTTAATACTTTCCTTAACTTGCTTGGTTAGCCATGGTTGGCTTATCCTGCTCTTAGAATATTTCTTCCTTACTGGAATGTATTTTTGCGGAGAGTCATGAATTGCCTCCTTAAATATCTGCCACTGCTTGCTTAATGTCTTTCCTGCTAATCTATCCACCCAGACAACAAGGTGCAGGGCTGGATGAACACAGCAGGCCAAGCAGCATCATAGGAGCAGAGAGGCTGACGTTTCGGGCCTAGACCCTTCATCAGAAAAGCCATCTGCAGTTCCTACTATCTCTGATTCAAATCTATCCACCCAGTTCACTTTAGCTAACTCTATGCTTGTTTCAATTTAATTCCTTTTATTTAAATTAAACACAGTTGTACCAACCCAGGTTTCTCACTCTGAAACTAAATATTAAATTCTATCATGTTACGATCACTACTTCCCAGGGCATCATTTACTATTTATTAAACCTGCTTCATTATCCATTGCCATGATCTCGTGAGCATGTCTCCCAAAGGTGTACTGAGAGATATAACATAAGTAATTAGTGCAGTTCTCTCAGTCTTTCAAATTATACAACTTTTATTGATTATCTTTTCACATTTTGTGGTCAAGTTATGCCACTGCCAATTTCTCCCTCCAGTAATTTAACATAAATATCTAATAAAACTAGCTAGCTTATGAGGACCATTGACCTTCTCCATGAGTGTTTTGACACATCTAGGTCTTCTGCAAAGTACTAATTTTACAGACGTTTTGTTCATTGTCCAGAAAGTAAAAGAAAAATAAAACCCTTTGTTTGTTGTTTCTTCATTCTCCAAACTGCTAGGTTTGATTTTGGGTGTACTGGCTTTTGTAGACTTCCTATCTCTCAGAAGCCTTGTCTGCCTTCTCAGTAGAATATAGGTGGTCCCTTGGTACAACTTCAAGGAGGAACAGAGCAGTTTTCCCCAGTTCCTTAGCCAATGTTTACGCCTGCTCCAATATCATTAAAAATGGTCATCTAGACATTAATCCTGTTGCTGTTTGTACATTCATGGCTGCCATATTTCTTAAATTGCAACAGTAATCACACTTGCAAACTATTTCATAAGCCATGCAATAGTTTAGGACATTCCTGGAAATAATGGAGGCTCTAGCAATAGAAGTGCAAAAACCTGCTGAAAGGTTTATATGGGTAAAGTAGGTCCCCTTGTGGTCAGACTGACGACTGACCAAACTCTCCAATGAACTCACTCACCATTTCAGATAGTAACAGATAGGAGCAGGAGAAAACATTAATGCCCTACTGAAGCTGTTTCATCATTCAGTTCAATCTTTGGCTGAGCTTGGGCTTCAACTTCACTTTTCCTTCCATTCGCTCTATCCATGAATTCCCTGAGAAACTAATAATCTGTCCTTGTCAGCCTTAAATATATTCAATGAATGAGCATCCACAATTCTCTGGGGTAGCGAATTCCAAAACTTCACAACACTCTGAGTGAAGAAATTTCTCCTAATCCTAGTTCTAAATGATTATCCACTTATTCTTAAATTGTGTCCCCTTGTTCTAGATTCCCCAGCCAGGGGCAAAAAAAGACATTTCCGTACCAGCCTCAGCTGCTTCATAATTTTGAATATTTCAGTGAAATCACCTCTCATTGTTTAAAAGTCCAGAGAGTTTAGGTCCAGTGAATTCTACCTCTCATTATGCGACAAACCCTTTGTCCAAGGGACCAATGCAGAATTTTTGCTGTACGACCCCCATTGTAGGTATACCTACCTTTAAATATGGACATGAAAACTGCATACCATGTGTGATCTCATCTACGTACTGTACAATTATGGCAAGATTCTTTTATTATCGTGCTTGAGTTCTGTTGCAATAAAGGCAATGTGCCTTCCTAATTGCTTGCTGTATCTGCAAGGTAACCCAGTTCCTTGTATGAGTGCAATCGACTCTTTCTGAAAATTGTCATTTAATTCTGTTTTTTTCTGTTCTTATGACCAAAGTGAATAATATCACACTGCCCAAAATTTTACCTCATCTACCACCATATTGTCCACTCAACTTGTCTATGCCTCTTTACAAATGCTTTGTGTCCTATTTGCAGCTTGCATTCCCACCTAGATTGTATTGTCAGCAAAGTTAGACACATGGCTCGTTTTCTTTTTGTCTGAGTTATGAATATAGATTGTAATTGGCGGAGGAAGCAGCACTGATCACTATAATGTTCCACTAGTCACAGCCTGTTCCTTTGAAAATGCCCCATTTATCCCTACTGTCCACTTTCTGCCCATAAACCAATTCTTATCGTTAATGAAATATCAGCCCAACTCCATGAGCCCTTATCATGCATATTAACCCTTGTGAGGCACATAACCAAATGCATTTTGGAAATCCAAGCACACTATATCTATTGGCTCCCCTACTAATTACATCCTTAAACAAAAAAACTTGACTAACTTTGTCAAACAAATATTTCCATTTTGTAATACCAGTTAATTGTTTTTCTAAGAACTCCTTTCCACTTTGTTGTGTTAATTTGTTACTTACAGTTGTTTTATGTGTCCTTAAAACTAGCCCTGGGTCATACAGTAATGCATTTTGTCTCCTTTTGGGCTCCGAGTTATGTTTTTAGATTAGATTTGATGGGATGAATGTGATTGCTCGTCATTGGCTGTAGGAGCATCACAGGAGTTAATTCTGACAGTTTCAGCCCATCACATGGTGTGCGTTAAAATAGTAAAACTGCCTGTTAAACAGAGTAAAAACAAACCTAGCAATTATATAATATTTTGTCAACTCTTTCAAAAGCTGCTTAAAGTACTACAAATACTAGTCTGCAAATGTGCATCATGGCATTTTGGTACCCCTTTAGCATCTGCAATCCTTAATATAAAATATAATAAGTAGTACATAATAAATATGAAGGATCAGTTAATCCGCTGGCATTCCTGCAATTATGTAGTGATGCGTGCAAGATGAAAAGCTTTGATAGTGTGTCTTTTTTTTTCTGCTAAACTGTAGTTCTGAGCTATCAAGTGGTGATTTTATCTTTAGAATATTTCTATCCATAGGATTTCATTCTCAGAACTACCATTCCAAACTAGCTATACCTGGTTTAGAAAGTGCTACCCGTATAAATATTGGCCAGATCAGTCTGTGATGCCAACATAAACAAAGCAGAAACAGAACTGGAGCCATTAGAACAAACTTTGGTTACAAAATTCCATCTACAGGTTGCACTCCTGGATGATTGTACTGAATTGGAAAATAGTTCAAGAGGGATTGCAGGAACCATTAAGAAGGCTCACAATTAAATCTGAAGAAGTAGATGTTGTATCAAGCAGAGTTATACTTGACATGATTCAGTAATACGCTGATGCTTTGACTTGGAACTGACCATGGAAGTGGTCTGTTTCCCCTGAGTTGGTATCTTTAACCACAATGAGCTGAGTGCTTTTTGTTTCAAAACAGCAAAATAAGTGAAATACCCACCTTTTTTTCTTCCCTTTCTCAGAATTGAACAGCTGTATCAAAATGTTCTGGCACTCTGGCACCAGACACACATAAATATGAAGAGTGTTGTATCCTGGCATTATCTCATGAATGAAATTTCAACTATTCGTGCTTGGAATGTTTCCTCAGTAAGTAGTTCTTTTGTTTGCAGAAAGGATGATGTTAATTCTGTCTATTCTGAGATTAATTTCTCTTAATTGGGATGCTTCATTACATATCTAAGATGGGGATTGGGAAGAGAACTCCTGAAGGTGGGAACAGAAGTAGGCCATTCACCCCTCTAGTCCAGTCCTCCATTCAGGACACGTCTGATCCGTATCTTAACTTTTAATTTTCCCCCTCCACCCCGCCTACATTTTTGGGTAGAAACCAAAATGAAGTCTGTCTACAATCTGTTCTTCATTACATACTTGGTCTTCTATTCTCATTCTGTATTCCTCCATCTGTGCACACTCCTCCATCCTGATTTCTCAAAACCTCAGCATTGGCAGCCACACCTTCAGTTGTCTAACTCCTTGGGCCTGAAATTCCCTTTCTTGTCTCTCTTTCTTTCAGCGCCTCATTAAAACCTACCATTCTAACCGCACTTTCAATCACCTGTCCTGGTGATTACGTTTTGACTGTACTGTTGCGAAATGCTGTGGGGTGGTTTACCATGTTGTATAATTGCAGGTTGTTCACTTGCATTGGTCTGCCTAGTCTGGTCGTTTTTGACCCTCACTGGCTACACGATGAACATTTTTGCCATGCTAGCTATCACCATGGTCAGGAATGCAATTAATTCCTTGATTAACAGCTGCAAGGAAACTGATCCTCTCTGTGGATCATTCTGAAATTTCAAGAATGCATTTTAAGTAGAAGTGACTGAGCCCTACAAATTTCCATTTGAGATTTGATGTATTGAATAGCAAAATAATTAGAAAATTATGTTGATGGGAATTCATGAAGACGTATGCGAGGAGGCTCATGGGGAGCATAGACTTGTTGGGCTGAATGACCTATTCATGTTGTGAATACCATGTAACTATGATGGTCTGGCTTACTGTACTTGATGTGTTTAGGTAAGTTCTGGACATTTTAATCCTCAAGGAATTCACACCAAGTATTCCCTTTGCGCAGATAAAGACCATGCTCCCTGGGGAACATCAGCAGGTGCTAAGCAGTCTTCAGGAACACCTCAGGGACTTCTTGGAAGATAGTCAGGAATCAGAAGTCTTCTCAGTCACTGACGGCAACCAGCTTGAGAGAGAAGTCAAGTTCTGCAAACAGTATTATGAAGATCTCCTCAAATCGGCTGAAAGAGGTAATGGGGCTGCGTGGGGCCAGTGAAAATGTGAACTGTATTTGTTTCATTGAAATGGATTACAGGCAGGTATTGATGAGATTCTTTCTTGTAGGAATTTCTATCTGAGGTTCAGTTACATCTAATTGTAAATAGCTGTTCCCACTCCTCACAACGTGAGAATATTGGAAAACATGGGTAAAGCAGTAAGCATATATCTGTGTTTCTCCTCTCCCCTGCTGCCCTCCTCACCTCACTGCGTCAATGAGCAGCTTTATCTCTCAGTGTCCTTCTGCAAATCATTTTCTTGCTGATAGCAGATTTAGTGGCTGAAGGAGACTCGTTCCACCGAGTAACACTGCTATGGGTCAAATGCAGAGTAGGGAATTCCGTGGAGTTTTCCCATCAAATCTTCACAATGTGTGGGGAAACTCTGGACAAATGGGTCCACTGGCCACTTACTGTGTTTCTGCTGAAGCGAGCATGGGAGAAAATGGGGGAAAGTCACACAGAAATTCAAGGCAAAGAGGTAAACTTAGGCAGTTCTCCTCATATAAACTATTTGAATCACTGGTCAGGGAAAAGCAGCTAGGTCTCAATCCTGCCCTCCCCACACCTTGTAATGGCTGAAGAATTATGACCATGCACCTTTTAAAACCCCAATACACATCTCCACCTGCAACAATGTTCATATCCTGGGAGAGAAACTAAAAGAGGCGGGATCCAGTTGTTGTGTGAACTCCAAGTGGTGGAATCGAGTCCAGCTGATCACATGGGCCAGATGGTGTCTGTGAAGATGATTGTCTTTCTATGATATGATTTTTGCCCTATTCTAAAACCAGCTCCCTGTTGGGTGTAAGCAAACAGAAATAGATTCCAGAGGCAAATTATACTTAGAAATCACATTTTTTGATTTGATTTTGTCCATGAAAGTGGTTCACAGTTGCAAGATGTTTGAATACACAACTCACTTGCCTCAACGGATGCAGCATCAATAACACTTGACAAGTTTGACACCACCCAAAGTCAAAGCGGCCCGCTTCATTGATATCCCATCCACCACTTTCAACATTAACTTCCTTCACCACTGTGTACCATTTGTGTACCAGTTGTGTACCATTTACAAGTTGCACTGCAGAAACTCACCCAGGGACTTTAGACCGCGTCTTCCAAACATGCAGTTTCTTAGCACCTCAAAGGATAAGGGCAGTACCATCTGCAACTTCTCCTCCACACCATACATTATCCTGACTTGCAATCATTTCATCACCATTCATTTCCTGTTGCTGAAACTCCCAAAATTCTCAAAATCCTGAAACTGTGTCCCAAATGGTGCTGTGGAAATACACCACATGGACTGCAGCAGTTCAAGAAGGCAGCTTACCACCACCTCTCAAGCGCAATTAGATATGGATAATAAATTCTTGGCCCAGCTAGTGACACCCAATCTCATGATTGAATAAGTATTAAAGAGATTACCTTGATGACACGGACATTTGTTTTGAAACTCGGCTGTAATGTTTTCATGAAGAGGGAATAAATAAGAAAAATATAACTTGCAAGAATAGTGATTGAGGTGAATGTTATAAATGGGTTTGAGCAATTGAATTTGTTGTGGAGAATAAAGGGTTTGAAGGATAAGGTAAAAACAGGTTTGGGTTTTCACAAGAATTAGAGGAGCTTGTGAGTCTGTTGGCCCTACCCTTTTTGCAAGAGCTAGTATGTTTAAACAATTTGACCTCTTCCTATTAAACCAGAGGAGCAAGAGGAATCCGCTTGCAATCGGTTCATCTCAGAGTTACGCAATATTCGACTTCGTGTGGAGAATTGTGAGAAGCGCCTGATACGTGAAATCCGCACACCGCTGGAACGAGATGATCTACAGGAGAGTGTGCAAAGAATCACCGAGCAAGAGGTCAGTTCTGGAAAACCCTACCCAGTTTGCTGTATTTTCCATCTTGTCCCCTCAAAGTACTTTGTTAATGTTTTGCTAAATGTTAAAATTGCTGTTCAAGGTAAATTTGCTCCAAACTTGCATTGGAACACTGTGAGAACATTTTTTTAAAAAAGGGTTAATTCCCAGGAGTGGGTGTCAGTGGCATTAGTAGTCAATTTTGTCTTTGGCCAAGGGGATGAGATCAGTTGAGGGAAGAGGGATGATCATTCCTGAAGGAGTGAAACCTTGGTGTGAAACTGGGGTCACATACTTGCCCAGGCTGGATGAAGACATTAGTGAAGCAGTTGAGTTTTTGTGATGGTCTATATGATCACTTTTCACCGATACTAGCATTTTACTTAAATAGTTTTTCTTTCTAGTCAAATGAATTCCAATTCTCAAACCACACAACAGGATTTGTACTTATGTTCTCTGCATTATTAACCTAACAATATAACTGTTGCACACCCATGTTGAATGCATGTGAATCTTTCTCTCACCAGAAACTGAAGAGTGAGCTGGAGGAGCTCATTGTGGATTTGGAGAAAGTGACTGAAAAGTGTGACAAATTCTTTGGACAAGCATCTTCATCTTCAGCCGCAACCCTACGTACAGAGCTGAATGTGGTGCTGCAGAATCTCAATCAAGTGTACTCGCTGTCCTCCATTTATTTGGATAAGTAAGGATTCAGTCCTTATTAATGATTCTTCCTCAGTGAACAAGAATGCAGTGGTTTCATATGTACATTTTGGTTAGAAATACAATGAATATATGAAACTTTTAAATTGTAGAAGTTGATTGCAGATGTACTTATTTTTGCAAGTATCATGACATGTACCTGTTAAGAAAAAGAATTAGTACAACGGTGAGCTCTTTATCCAGCTTAAAGAGAAACTCCTTTATCTCTGGAACAGAAAAGAGCAAACATTCAATCCCAGAGGTATAGCAGTTTCTCTGACACTGTGTTTGCTGGTCATAGGAGTTTTCATTCTCCAAACTACATTTCTGTCACAACACTTGTTGCTGCTTCAAACTGACTTATGTGTCCTTTTTTTTTGAAGTTGTAAACAGACTTGGTGCACAGAAGGCTGTCTGTCCTTGGTTTGTAATTTGTGAGTGACAGGTTTTTGTACATTAGAATTTAAGGAGGTGGGCCTAATTGATTCTCGGGTTGAATGAATGCAAGCTCAGAGACAGACATAAATGGTTTTGTTTTATGTGTTAGTGGGTTGTAGGCAGGCAGACAGAATGATAGAGTGGATGTATGTCACTGCTACAAATTCAAATCACTGATACTAAGGAGGAGGGGTAACACGTCAGTTCATACTCTGTTTACCAGCGAAGCACAATAAATGGTTCTGTGTGTTCTGAAAGGAATAGCAATGAGTTCTCTGTCCATTTGAATAACATTTTGTCTGTATCTGTAGAAGTACTCCAAAAAACATTGATTAGTTTACATTCACCAAAAAGCAACATTTACTACTTCAGTAGCAAATTGACCATGCCAGCGTTGTCAAATCACCAAAAACAAAATTTTCCGGAGGGATTCCAACTACAATGCTTATTTCGAACTTATGCTTATATGGTTCTCCCTTTCTTTAAAAAAAAACTAGAATTTCTATATTACTATTTCATGACTCCAGAATGTACCAAAGTACTTTGTAGTCTTTTTGAAGTATAATTGCTGTTGTAATGGCTAAATATGCACTTAGCAAGCTGCCACAAACCACAAAAGGAGAACGATTGATTTTTAGTCACATTAGTTAAAGGATAGCCTTTTTGGCTGGAACATTGTAAGGACCTGCCCCGCTTTTCTTCAGACTGGTACTACCAGATCATTTGTGCCTCCCTAGGAGCAAATGGGAGTTAGAACCAACTTTGTTTCCGTTCTCTGGAGTGGGGCTTGAACCCAACATCTTCTAAATCTTGTGGTGTAAGTGTTACCAGCATGGTCATTTTTCACAATGGTCATAGCTGAAATCTACCCTCAGTACTGGTGGACAGCTGTTTTTGCAGGATGTAGTGGGGCTATGGAGTTTTGGGGACAAGAATTCAGGGAGAATTCCATAAACTATGATCATTTTGAAAGCAAAATTTTAAAAAAGGGATATTGAAATGCTGTCATAGTTCATGGATATAATCCTTGTTTCCAACTACAGGTTGAAGACTGTCAATTTGATTGTTAAAAATAGCCAAGAAGCAGAGGCTCTTGTTAAACAGTATGAAACCAAATTGGGTGAGGAAGATGCAGTACCACCTGACACTGAGGCAATTCAAGCTCTCCAAAATACATTGAAGGTAATGAAGATTTTCCTTTGTTATTCTCAATATTTGGAAAGGCAGCACAGAATTAAACACATTTACAGCATTTGGCTCAAATAGTTGTTGCTGGTATTGATTCTGTATGCAAACCTCTTCCCAACTCCCTTCACCTACTCTTGTCACCATACAGTGGCACGGTGGTTCAGTGGTTAGCAATTCTGCTTGACAGCGCCAGGGACCTGGTTCAGTTCCAATCTTGGGCGACTATTTGTGTGGAGTTTGCCCATGTCTGCGTGGGTTTTCTCCAGATGCTCTGGTTTCCTCCCATAGTCCAAAGAGGCGCACGTTAGATGGATTGGCCGTGCTAAATTTATCCCATAGTATGTCCAAGGGTGTGCAGGCTAGGTGAGTTAGCTATGGTTAATGCAGGCTTACAGATATAGGGTGGAGAGTGGGATACTCTTTGGAGTGTTGTTGCAGACTTGGTGGGCCGAATGGCCTGTATCTGCACTGTAGCGATTCTGTGATTCATATCCGTGTATTCATTTCTACCCTTATACTTCTGGTTTCCCACTAAATGCGTCTGTACATCTTACTCGATCACTCCATGCAATAGTGAGTCCTCATTCTCAGCATGAACTGGGTAAAGAAGTTGCCGTGAATTTCTAATTGCATTTATGTTCTCCTTATGACCCCTAGATTTGGCTTCCCCAATGGCTTCTCACACACTCACAATCACACCAGTCACCCTTCTGCACTTCTCTCCTCAACAGCAATGGCGAACTGAAGTGGATGAGAAGCGTGATGTCTTCCATTCATTAGAAGATGAGCTCCAGAAAGGGAAGGCAGTCAGTGAACGCATGCTGAGGGCACATAATGAGCGGGATATGGACATGGACTGGCACAAGGAGAAAGCTGTTCAGTTAGCTGAGCGATGGGAGAACATCCGTTCCCAAATTGACAACAGGTTTGTATCATTCCACACCGCACTTCCTCCAGAGCTTGTGAATTCTGAATGTATTCACCATGGGAAGAGGAATGAAGCCTCCATATGGATGGAATTTCTTTCATGTTTAATGTTGTAGAGTATTGATTAACAATGTCACTTCTGTGGAGAGATAGCTTTGGGCTGGTGCTGAGAAAACCCAGTAGAGCTGCCAATGTGGGTGAGTTATAAGATGGAAAGGCATGCATTTTTGTTGTGCCTTTATGATCTCAGGATGTCCCAATGTACTTAAGAGTCAATCATGGACTTCTGATATGCAGTCACTGTTTTGATGCAGGAAATACAACAGCTAATCTGTGCAAGCTTCCACAAGCAGCCATGTAATCATGGCTGGTTAGACTACTTTTGGGACTTTAGTTGAGGGATATATAATGGTCAGGATACCAAGAGTAATTCATGCTCCAAATATTGCCAGAGGATGTTTTGCGTCCTCCTAATAGGGCACTTGGAGCTTAAATGAACATTTCTTACAGAACTGGCAACTTTGACAGGTCACCAGTCCCTCAGTATTACACAGGATTTGTCAGCCTAGAATATGTGCCTAAGGATCTGAAGGGGTCTTCATCTGACAACCTTCAGACTCAGCAGGAACCAAATCAGGAAGAGGAGGTAATTGAATCTTTAGGAGAAAGATAATTTCTGGAAAGAAATAGCTTAAAAATTCCAGGTCCAGTGGGATTAGCAGAGATTTTACAGTACAGAAATCATGAAACATGGGGAGGCATCCTGAAGAAGAAAAGAAAACTCCCTTTTAAGTATGGTACATATCAACATAAGAACGGAGATCTGTTGCAACTCAACTTGAATTAAGCTGAGAGAGGACTAGGATGCAGTAACAGAGAAGAAACCAAGTCAGTAGTCAAATGTTAGAAAGCTATCCTTTCTGCTTTCAGGCTGCATGAGCTTGAGAGCATCAGCATATCCCTGAACTGGTACAGAGACTGTTATAAAGACCTTGATCAGTGGATCCAAGAAATGGAAACAACGCAACAAAAGATGCAGGAACGTCAGCCGGAAGACATCCGAGCCCTTGCTGATGAGCTCAACCAACAAAAGGTAGCTCGCTTGCTGATGATAGTCATGGTATGGGTTCTAAAATGGTAGACTGAGAGTAGTGCGGATCTTGCATCTGCTCCTGAGATTGCAGGCTTATGTCTAGATTTACTTCTAAATTTCTTACAGTTAATACGTTTCAGTAGTAGAAGTTGTTTTATTCATTTTTTATTTTTTTTATAGTCAAAAAACAAAATGTGCACGATATTATTTTCAAACGGAGTTGTGTTAACAGAATGTTTGGAAAGGCCTACATATATCTTGCTCTATAATGTGAGCTGACCAAATTTGGAGGTGGTTTTAGTTACAGTTGTAAACGTCAGAATGTCAACTTGTGTGAACTAATTTATTAAGAGGCTCATCAGCGTAGAATATACAGAAGATATTTCTGAAGTAACCATTCAAGAAAATTGAAAACAAGTTAAAGAGTGCAATGAGTTTCAATTATCCTTCATATTATTTTAGGTGTTGGCCTCGGAAGTTGAGATGAAACAAAGCAGAATGGACGAATGTCAGAAATACTCTGACGAGTATTCCTCTGCTGTAAAGGTAAGGTGGGAAATCAAATTTGGATGAAGCAATTATATTTAATTTGAAATAGTTTTTAAGTTTTATTTAAGTCTTGCGTATTTTGATAGATCAATAATTAATTAGAGGAATTTGATTTTGGGTCATTCAGTAAAGAACCCAATGGGAGATGAGGAGAATTTTTTACTTGAGCAGTGAGTTAAGGTGATCTGGAAGAGAAAGATGAGGGAAAGCAGATTCACTTTCAAACAGAATTTGATTAAAAAACAAGGAAGGGATAAATTTACAGGCATATAAGAAAAGATCAGGGAGAGGAGAATGAATTGGATAGCTTCAGCAAACAGCTGGGGCACGCACATTGGACTGAGTGGTCTCTTTCAGTTATATCAGTTTATAATTCTACAATTGCCAACTTGTTCAAGTCTGGATATGGTCTCTTCCAAAGTATTTCTTTGTACAATCTAATTAACAATTGAAATTTGACATTCGGGCTCAGATTTACAGAATTGTTTTATCCAAATGGAAATCTCACTGGTGAATGCTGGCAAGTAAACTCATGCTAAATATTGGTCGTACAGAGGCTTACACAGATGTCACCTGGAAATGGTGTTGATTTATGTGCACTGCAGCTTACGAAGGATATTTGGTCTTGAAGCAACCTGCAGATTCACCAGAATTAGTTCAGAAATGGGAGTGGAGTTAGTGGGGAGGGGGGGTGGGGGGGTTCGGGGGTGGGTGGGGGGGAGGTGGTGTGACGGGGTTGCGGGTGTTAGCTAGGCAGCAGGAGAAGTTACCAAAAAAATGAGAACAGATTGCACAGACTTGACTTGCATTCAACTTGGTATGAAAGGATGAACTGACAAAGTGGTTAAAATGTTGAAAAGATTTGCTACCATCGATTTGGTATGACTATTTCTTTTGGTAGTAGAATCCAGAACAGGGAGTCATAATCTTGAAATTTGAGGTTGAATGCTCAAAAATGAAATCAGGAAGCACTTCTTCAGACACAGAATGAGAAATGGGACATTCTATCCCCCAAACACTATGGATTTGTGAATCTATAGCGATCAGGGAACTTGGTATAATGATGAGATGAATAGTTTTCATATGGAATGGCATTTCCATCACTGAATATCTCACTTTCAACATCCTGATGGTTACCATTCCTCTGAAACTGAACTGGACTAGCTGGAAAAGTAAGTACTGTGGCTACAAGAGCAGCTCAGATGCTGTGAATCCTGCCAAACTCTATTCCTCGTTGTTCTGGGAAAGTGGTGGTGAGCCACCACCTCGAACCACTGCATTACATCTGGTATTGGTACACTCACAGTGCTGTTCAGGATTTTGACACAGCGGCACTTAAGGAATGGTGATGTATTTCCAAATTAAGATATTGTGGAGCTTGGAGGGGAACTTGCACGTGGCAGTGTTCCCATGTATCTGCTGCTCTGGTCCTTCTAGGTAGTAGAAGGTGCTAGCAAAGGAGCAGCAGCACAAATCAGGAAAGTAATGGAGTGCTCTCTGTTTGCCTGGATGAGTGCAGCTCCAGGACCATCCAGGACAAAGCAGACTGCTTGATTGGCACCTCATCTTCAACATTTGCTCCCTCCACCACCAATGCACAGTGGCAGCAATGTGTACCATCTACAAGATGCACTGCAGTAACTTGCTGCTGCTCCTTTGCCAGCACCTTCTACTACCTAGAAGGACCAGAGCAGCAGATACATGGGAACACTGCCACGTGCAAGTTCCCCTCCAAGCTCCACAATATCTTAATTTGGAAATACATCACCATTCCTTAAGTGCCGCTGGGTCAAAATCCTGAACAGCACTGTGAGTGTACCAATACCAGATGTAATGCAGTGATTCAAGGTGGTGGCTCACCACCACTTGCCCAGAACAACGAGGAGTGGACACCAAATGCTGGCCTGGCTTGTGACCCCCATGTTACATGAAAAAAGATTGAATAAAAAAAATCAAAATGAGGAGCAGATAAGAATGATTTAAATAGGTGGTACAGGTCAACTCTTGACCGTGATGTTCACTTAGTGCTACAGCTAGAAATTTCAGCCTGGATTCTGTACTCGGGTGTCTGTTACGCAACGTCAACCTCAAATCTTTGACTCGAGGTTAAAGTGCTACCAACTGATTTGAGGTTGATATCCGTTGAATGTTAAAATTATATTGCTGTTCAATGTTTAGTTTCTTTCACGATTGGTGGAGGTTTCGTAGAACCATGAAGCATGATCAGTGATACTAATGTTCATTATCTGTGTCTTGTTGATGGTGCTTTCAATGACCCTCTCACTTTTTGTTGATCAGTTGTGTTGTCTTCCGCTCACAGGAGTACGAGCTTCAGCTGATGACCTACAAAGCCATGGTCGACTCCCAGCAGAAGTCACCAGTCAAACGGCGAAGAATGCAGAGCTCTTCAGATGTCATTATACAAGAGGTGGAAAATGTTAACTTTCTAAAGTTTACTAAATGTGAAGATTGTTCAAATTTCCTCTTCCTGGAGGAGAGAGGGTTAAGGGCCATAGAAAGAGGAAATATTGGAAATGCTCAGCAGGTCTGGCAGAATCTGGCAGGACAGAAACAGTGTTGATTTTTTGAGTTGAAGATGATTCTTCAGACCTTGGGTAGAAGGTTAAGGAGACATTGAACAGAGGTACTTAAAGTGATAAGGAATGTGTTGATCACCAAAGGAGAAACTGATTCTGTGTCAGGAAGGTCTGTGACCAGAGGACAGAGTTTTACTATAATTGCAGTAAAACCAGAGGACACATTACGAATCTTTTTCTAACATAGTTTATAAGATCAGAATGCACTGTCCTGTGAAAGGATGCTGAAAACAGATTCAATATTAAGCAGCTAATGTGAATAAGATTTTTCTTGGGGAATAAAAACTTGCAGAGCTGCGGAGAAAGAGCACAGGAATTGGACCAATTGGAGACGCATCGTCATAGGCATGATGGAGAGATTGGCCCTGTTTGCCCCTATATAAAGAAATATTGAAGGAAGATGAGCAGATGCATTTCAGAGTTGAAGACCTTGGGTGGAAATTCCTGTTGCAGCTAACAAGGCAGTGATCTTGGAAGGATTTTGTTATTTCTGGTTCAATAACTTAGAACAAAAGTGTTTCTGAGAAGAGTAGTGTCAGTGTAATGTCCTTAGAACTATCAGTTCATTCTGTAGTAATGCTATCATGTTGGAAATGGCTATGGCTAATCTGAATTAAAATGTGTTGTCTAGTAAAAATGATGATTTTGCTTAATTTATAAGTTTACCATGCAATAATAGTGTGTGGAGGGTTTCACAGGAATTAAAAATAAATTGATAATCATTATTGGTAACAATTGCGTATATTAAATTACAAACTTTACATCTATCGTGATGAATATTACTAATGATAATCACACAGAGTCATAGCTGCCAAAATTACACATGACAGAGTTAAAATGAGTTATGCTGACTTTATTGCCTCACAATTCTGCAGCTGGATCAAACCTTATTGCATTTTGCCATCTTTTTTTAAATATCCTTTGCTAACTCTGGCAATGTGAAATTCCACATGTTTCTGTCTTAGATCATCCAATTAAATAGATGTCAATTCAAACAAGGACAGTTTCCATGCACCTTATCAAGGCCTTCGTATGACTGATTTGCCAAACAATGAGTTATCACATACCTGTGCAGTTGCTATCTTGAGGGATTTAATAGAGAGGAGTACTGTCACCAAGATGAAGAGAGCTTGTCAGTGGATGGTTATCAGCTAAAATCTTTCTTTCTGGTAAACAGAACTAACTTTACCAGCCATCTCACAGAAACTGATGTAGCAGGCAAAAGCTGGAGGAACTGACCAAATATACATCTATCTGAAATACTCTGTGTAGAATGGAGTTTAAAAAGCCGAATCTTGTACTGACCTTGGCTGTGCTCATATTTGTGCCTCTTCTGTAGTTTATGGACCTCCGTACACGTTACACAGCCTTGGTGACCCTGATGACCCAATATGTGAAGTTTGCAAGTGATGCTTTAAAAAGATCAGAGGAGGAAGAGGTAAGAACTGCAATAAATTAGTGTCCAAGGAAAATTCTTCAAAATCATTAAAATGCAAGATATTTCTGGAATTGGGTGTCTTAGGATTGAGTTTATAAGGTAGTGGTGCGCTCAGGCCTTTTATACAGTCAATGTGTTGTACCAGGGTCTGGTTGGGAGATCAGATGCATTAACATTAGGGTTAAATGTCTACTTAGTCGCTGAGAGAGATTCCAGGACTTTTGCCATGGTGGTGGGAGGATGAGGGGTAAAATGGAGCAAAAGTTGTCACCAAGGCAACTCTTGAATGGATGACAACAGCCAGCTTGAGAGGAGCATTGGCTCAGGGCAAGAGGACTGGGAGTTGTTGACTTGATTTTTCCTTCTCCTTGGCTAGAAAAGATGCAGGCCCTGCAGAGAGACAACTGAGAGTTCCTCAGAGAGGACGTCCACAGGAGGGGGTTAGGTTATTTTGCCTGAGATAGTAGGAACTGCAGATGCTGGAGAATCTGAGATGACAAGGTGTAGGGCTGGATGAACACAGCAGGCCAAACAGCACCAGAGGAGCAGGAAGGCTGACGTTTCGGGCCTAGACCCTTC